TCTATTACAATATCAAATTTACAAGATACTTTTCCAACCAGAAATTTAGTTCACCTTTGCAGCTTGTGATTCTCTTAGGTAGTATTTTAGAAGATCTGAGAGTTTAAGATCCTCATCAGCAGATACGCGGGCCTCTACTTTCTAAACAAGAAAAGCAAATCAGAAATATTTTAGGCACTACATACCATCTCCATTTATAATGCCCCAATTACATGCTCCTACTTTATTATTAAAAGCAGACATTTACAGAAAGCTATTGTCTACATCTTAAAATGCCTGGTCATCGCAACTCAAATACTATATAGTAGAGCTAAAGGAGGTTCAGAAGAGGCAACTAAGATGAGCAAGGAGTTTCCCTATGAGGAAGATTGTGATATTTTGGACTTTTTAATCACTCGATTTCATTGAGGGCCGCACCCGGGTTGTGTTTGACCTTGGGGGCCGGAGTGGGTGTGGCCAGCTTGTGTCGGGGGCACCTGTGGCCCGAGCGCTCTGCCAGAGAAAACAGGCTCCCGAGCTTCAGTTTTCGGCCGCAATGGCCTCCTGCAGTCCTCTGCCAGCAAAAATGGAGCTCAGGGGGGCCGTGGTCCCCTGAGTTCCATTTTCAATGGCAGAGGGCTGCAGGAGGCAGTCCCGTATGAAAACGGAGTCTAGAAGGGCTGTATGTGGCCCGCCCGAGCTCAGTTTTTGCTGGCAGCGGCACCGCTGTTTCCAAGTTGGCCCCATGGGTCAGATCTAAGCACCCCACAGGCCGTATCTGCCCCATGGGCTGCATCTGGCCCACAGGCCTTGAGTTTGACACCCCTGGTCTAAAGAGTTGAATAAAAGGAGACATGATTGAGATGTATAACATTATGCATGGTGAGGATAAAGTGGACAGGCTATTTCCTAAAATACTGACAGTGGTGATCCCATTGATGTTCCTCTGATCAAACAGAAAGTAGGTAGTACTTTGTAGAAGTTTGTGGTCTTTATTTTATTCATATTTCTGTTGTTACAGTCTGTGTTTGTTGGTTAATTAAGTAATGTTTTAGAAGTTTGGACAGGAGGTATTTTTGGAAGCATAAGTAACACTGAATAATAGTAAGATGTCACAGGAACCCAAACCAGAGAAAAATATCAAAATCTGAAGAACCCAAATTGAAATTTTGCAATCTTTCATAATACATACCCTTGTTTTATCAAACAATTCAGATACTTTCAGGAAAAATCTGTAAATGAAAAGTAAATATAGTAAATAGTTTTTTGATCATAATTTTGTTTATAATTTATGGTGGATATCATTCCATATCAATAATTGCCTGATGAACAACATTATCAACTATAAATAGAAACTACTGAATCATGTTAACTTTCAATAGTTATCAAAGTAATTTCCTTAATGTTTATAAGAGTTATCCCTTTCCTAAATCTTCACGATGGCATACACCAGGGGTATCAAGCTGGATCAGCATTGTAGTTCTCTTCTGCAGGCCGGTCTGGGGTGGGGGGTGGGGAAACGGGACGGATCCCTCCTGAAGCACCCTGCCCGAGGATGGGTGGCTGTGGCTGCCAGAGGCACCACAGGCCATTCCTTTGCTATTTCCAGGCTGGTCCACAGGCTGGATTTAAGCACCCCAGGGGCTGGATGCGGCCAGCAGGCCTTGAGTTTGACACCCCTGGCATACACTGTTATCTGCCCCAATTTTTCTTTAATATAGCTCTAAATAATAGGCAGAAACTACCTAATATGACTCAATGTCATCCAGTGGACTTTATAATTTGAAGACCGTGGTCCCTCTAAGCCTGCTGGAATATCCAGATCATCTTCGAGACACTTCAAATGGGCAACAATGTGCCATCTAGACCGAAGTGTTTTTCATCCTACCATGCACACAACTCATGCTCAGTGTATTCTTTAGAATGGAATCAAGAATACTGACATCAAACAATGTAAGCATGGCCTGCAGATCTTTTACTGTTTGCTCTGAGGTTCTTTTCAATCTCCTAAAGTATCATATATCTTCGGATGACTTATGGTTGTTACTTCATGAGCATTAAAATCTTTTTCTGGAGTTCCTCAAAAAGCTTTTACTTGGGGGCAGAATTCATTTCTGTAAACCTTTCTGAAGAACAGACTCTTAAGATTATAACCATGTAAATCAGACAAGGCTATGTATAATTTTTAAATAACTAAACAAAAAAATATTTTTTTTAATGGAACCTCACATCTCACTGGACCACCTGGCTGTGTTTACTGTATTAAGATTATTTTATACATACTTTTTCCAATAAAAAGAGTGAATATTCCCTCAAGCTGTTCAACACAAACATGAGACAGCATTTTGGGTGATATCTGTTTAATCAGGATTACAAACAGTTCTAAAAGTTCACAACTGCAATTTTAGCTTGGAAAAGAAAGCAATAAATTGGATGAACAGATTTTTTTTTTTAAAAAAGGAAAGCTTAAATGTTGGAATTATGATATTCTTTTATAGCATTCTGGAATGAAGTTCAAGATTTGAGCAGCCCCTACTCTATTGGTGTTTTGAAGAGCTTGAAGACCTGTCTCTTTGCCCAGGCCTCTGGTGTGCATGACTGAAGCTCCCCTTTTTTATTTTACCTTTTACCTAACAAACCATCTGTGTTTGCTATGTCTGTCATCATCTTTGATCCATTTTGCTTTGTTATTTTGTTTTAAAGTTTTTAACAATTTGTAAACCACTCAGTCACTAGGAATTGAGCTGCATGTAAAATTAATAAATTAGTAACAGCAATGGTGGCGACTGAAGATAGCAGAACTGAAAACTAAGAAAGCAAACTTTCTAGTCTAAGGAAATAAAAAATGAAGATCAAATTGGCAGAAGAGAGAAGAAAGTAGTACTGTGATTCAATCAGCTTCAAGCAGGAAGCAAAGACCCAATATGTGAAGGACTGAGAAATAATTCTGATCACAGAACATTGGGCATTCTCAAATATACTATAAACAGCAAAACAAAAGCAGAGCAGAGAAAGACTACAGTACAGAATCTATTGCTAAATCATATTGTGTGGTTGGAATAGGATCCAAAGAAACCTAGCCTAAAAAAAACAAACCAAGAGCTTATTATCTGGAGATGTCTCTCAAGCATTTGCAATGGCAACAAAGGACATTTAATCTAAATTGAGTTAAGCAGTCCCTATTATTTCAAAAATCTATCCTTAATAAACATAATTTTATTTTATAAGATTTTTCAATTTATCCCTATACCTACCACATATGTACATAAATTCTTTAATGTACAGAAGTAGCACTTTGTAAAGGTAACGTTCTCTAAATGTAAGATCTACTTAGAAAATCTGTTAATAACTATGGCAGGGATTTTCATAAAGCTAAGTCCAAAGTTGAGAGAAAAATAGCTGAAATTATTACATGATATGCACATCAATTTAAAAACATTCAAAATTATGTGTTATAATTTTTTTAAGTTATGTATCTTTTAAAAGAGACTTACTTGCATATATCTGTGGAGTCCTGTGTTCCCAATGTATATAATGAAGAACCAATTCTATTGTAGTCGTCTGCAACATCTGAATAAGAAAAAGATATGGCATTAAATTCATTTTATATTGTTAGATTTTCTACTTTGAGCATATTTGTACATGAAGTGCATCCACAATTTTGAGAGCAGCCATGTGATTCATATTCCCAAGAATTCTATCTTCTTTAAAGTCACACCTGTCTTAAATCTCAAAACTTATTTGGAAGATATAACAAAAGCTCAGGCAATATCTATTTAGCATCAGAAAATTCTGCAAACACAGATAAAAAAGAATAAGACACAGTTTGTCACTTCCATATTTGGTCTTAGTCCTAATCAATCAAATATTGTCCCTATTTTTCCAAAATACCATTTATCCTTGTCATATATTCCAGATTTATCCCATCAAATGGAATCTACAAACTAATAGTATTTTACAATTTAATGGTATTTATCCTAATGCCCCCAAAATACTTTCTAGGTATTAGCAGGCAACTTACTTTTGTGGGATCGTGTCATTTTATCAGACTTGAGAGAGGAATCCTTGACACGATTGTGATATTCTACAAGGAATGTTCTTTCATGTTCAAAAAAATCATCTACATCCTGTATGCCAAGACATATCAGAAGTAAAGAGTAATTTGAAGAGAAGCAGTTTATATTTTACTGAACAAATGCTGAACAAAGATAAACTAAATTCAATTGTAGAAACAGCAGTTACATATCCATAATTACAGTGATGCTTAGTAAATTCCAAATTTTAACACTCAAAAAACCCCAATAATTCTACTAGAGTAGCATTTCAACATACTGATATAAAATATTTCTAGATCATTTCTTTTTCTAAAGCCCAGATAAATAAAATAACACCAGACATAACAATTCTGGTGAAATGGGATTGCCATGTTCTAAATTGTACTCCAGCATAACCATTGACAGCCTGAAATTTTCAGCCCATCTGAAGAACACCAAGTTGGGAAAAGCAGCCAAATCCACCAAGCTATATAATGTATAAGTATAGAAAGGAAAATTATTCATATTTATATAAATATGAAAATATTGTTATCCTTTTCTGTGTTTCTTCCAGTTTCACATCTAAAAAGGTGGAGAGCAAGAATCCATTTTGTCTTATAGGAGTCATGCACCAATAGAATGGTATAAATAGAATACTTCTGAATGACAAAGTTTGGAAATGTACCCACTAGCATAGAAGGTTAGAGGAAATAGTGGAGCACAACTTTTAATGTATTAGTATTTTGTGACCGAACATACCACTTGTGTAAGATTGCCCATACTGTATCTTTAAAATTCTAAGTATTTCCAATGACCTGTCAAAGTTAGAGATCCTTAAACTGAGAATGCCATTTAGCCCACATAATTTAAGTTGCAGGTATAAAATGAGAAAATTCTGAAATTATGATTACTTTGGCAAGCATTTTAAGATTAGATGGATAGATCTGATATGGAAAAATGCTACGTATTTATGCCTCATCTCTGCAGGAGTCGAAGGGAGTAAACAGACCACAAGAATCATCCTATAATTTCTATATCCAGAAGGACAGAGAGCAAGTTTCAATTCCTTCAGGAAAGCTAAAAAGATCAAGTGCTGCAAGAGTCCCAAACAAAGTACCCCAGAAATTCTTAACACTAGATAGATGGAAAACCAATGGTATGTTGAAAAGAGCTACACTTTGTATACAAGAGTTTTCTGTAAATTACTTGAGATATATTCGTCTTGCAAATTATTTAAATTCATATCTTTGAACAATACTCAGAAATGATGCAATGGATTTAAAAAAATCACCTTTACTCCTGAAACAATCACACCATCAGCAGACTTAACCATGTTTTTAAAGAAGTCTTCAAGTTTCTCTTTCTTATTTTTTCCCCGTACACTCAACTGAAATAAGACAAATGCATAATGTAAGTTTACTTTTTTCAATTCAGAGATGTTATTAACTCAAAGCAGTTCTTACTAAAGATAAACTATTAGAATGTTGTATCATTTTCATTTCCACCTTTGTACAGTAAAATTTCATTCACTACCCAGTTAGAGTGGATTTTAATGTGCTTACTTTCTTATTAGATGCATTTCTAATGTATCAAATTTCTTCCAGGATTTCAAGGTAATTTAACTGGATAGCTCCCTTCATTTTACCACATCACAACTTATGAGTAGGCTGGGCTGGTAAGAGTGACAGTCTCAAAGTAAATCAATGAGTTAGTTACATGACTGAGGCTGGACTTAATATCCCCAATTCATCCCATTAACCAAACACAGCACTGATTTTTTTTCAATATTTGTAGATCTATTGTAATTTTCTACTGAATTGCATTTATTTCAGGTTTTATAGTGCCAATAGTTTGTTCTAATTCTTGTAATTTGCTAGGAGTAAAAACTGGGTATTTAAAAATTATTATTAATGCTACATCCAAGTAAATAGCAATAGCAATAGCACTTAGACATATATATCGTTTCACAGTGCTTTACAACCCTCTCTAAGTGGTTTACAGAGTCAGCATATTGCCCCCAACAATCTGGGTCCTCATATTACCAGCCTCAGAAGGATGGAAGGCCGAGTCAACCTTGAGCCTGGTGAGATTTGATCCACCAACCTGCTGGCAGCCAGTGATCAGCAGAAGTAGTCTGCAGTACTGCATTCTAACCACTGCGCCACCATGGCTCAATAGGACATTTATTTCAATAGATGACTAGGTCAGAAAACTAACATGGTTTTTAAGAAAAGAGCCTTGGTAGTACAGTGGTCTAAGGCACCCTGTTATTAAGCTGGTTATTAAGACCAGCTGCCTGCAATTACTGCAGGTTCGAATCTCGCCAAGGCTCAAGGTTGACTCCATCCTTTCTAAGGTAGGTAAATTGAGGACCCAGTTGTGGGGGCAATAAGCTGACTTTGTATAAATATACAAAAAGGATGAAGGCTATTGCTGAGCACATTGTAAGCCGCCCTGAGTCTCCGGAGAAGGGCGGCATATAAATCAAATTTAAAAAAAAAAAAAAAGAAGTTCATGTTAAATACTTTACTTGTATATTTGAATTGCATTTTATTTTTAGAAAGCAGGTATTCTTTTAGATAGCTGAAATATGTCAAAGAAAAAGATGTATTATATAAAACATTTTACTTTTTAAAATGCATGACTGCTTTTTAAAAACTTATCATCATTACTGATGGACTATAGCCAATTTAGTGTAGTCTCCTCCAAAATGAGCATCCAACCACCTATTTGTGGATTCCTAGGTTTCTGTAGCAATCATGGAAGGTTAATCAAACATTTTACTGCTCCATGGATAAAAAGATGTTTCTGGAAATCCCAGTATCAGAGTACAAAAGCATTCTCTATGACTGTTTATCAACAACTGAGAAACAGCATCTCTCTTATATTGACTAGCAATCATTAATCTATGTAATCTATGATATCTATTTAGAAATAGCTATCACCATATTCAATAACAAAAAGCTTCACATTTTGAATATACATTGGCACTTTAGCCTGAATTAATTGCTAATCAATGTTACTGGATGATCCCAAATTCTAGAATTTGGGAAAGAAAGATTTTATTAACATTCTCTTGATTGTGCATGTTAAACCTCTAGGAAGTCCTGCTTTAGAATACTAATGCATATAAAATGCTTTGGTCCTATCATTTGGCTGTTGTTTCTTATAAATTTTCATTAATACAATATCCTTTGAAATAACTTCAATAGAAATGTTCATTTCAAATGTGATTTCTCAGAAGATTATTAGAGAAAAGTATAGTACTACCCATCTATAGTCAAATCTTGTTATTCATAGTAGTTGTGTTCTATAAAGTTGCCAAAACACTGAATTAGTGAATAGTCATCCTCAGCTGGGGACATGCAGATTTTTCCCAGTCTGTGCATGTTCACAAATAATGTAAAAATAGTGTGAGTATTGGTTGTATGGGGGAGGGGGGGTATTTTGGTTTTATTTTATGGAATCCCAAATAATGATCAATTATATTTCAATTTTTTCATACCACCACCCAAAAAGGCATTTTCTGTTTTGTCATTTCCACAATTACAACTCAAAATCCTTTTTTTACCTGGAAAATACGAAGTTAGAAATTCCCCTCCCTAATGAATCCCATTTATGCCAGCTTTCACTTCCTATTTTATTACCAGTCCTCCCAATCTGAGAAACCATTTTTGATCTCATTTTAACCTTGAATTAACATGAAAAAAAGAAAGACTGCTACACATTTTAAATTTAAATGGGTTTTAAATTTAATGAATTTAAATGGGTGTATGTGTGTTTTAAATTGAGGGCCAAATTTTATATATCTGATTTTAATTGGTTTTAAATTTTATAAATTCATGTGTTTTAATATGGCTGTACACCGCCCTGAGTCCCTCGGGAGAAGGGCGGTATAGAAATTTAATAAAACTAAAACATTTCCAATTTTACTGTTAACAATTTTTCTACTTCCTCAGGAAGCTAGTCTCCTTGCTACCTTTTACTGGAAGAGCTGTCAATGTTTTATATCTCTTCATCTTTTGCATTTTAACTTCTTTGATTCCTAAGAGAATGGTTCCTGTTACCCTTATCAAAATTTGATCTCTGTATGGAACATACCCAATAATTTTTAGAACTGCCATATCCTCTGCATTATTGTTTTTTTTAAAGAAAAATCTATTAAATGGGACAAGAAGTTTACTGCAGAGATCATGCTGTTCTTTCTTTGTGAAGACTTTTTTGTGTTTTTAGATGCTAATTTTAGCCATCATGTTCACATATTTTAAAAAGAATTTATTTCTATACCTTATATTGAATTTTATTTAACAAAAAGCACCTAAATCTTAATAAATATAGTGCTCTACAATTGCTCAATATTATGAATATATTGTTTTCTGGATAAGCACAGATGTTTTTTTGTGATGTATTTCAGTACTCACATCCTGATTATATTCCAAGAAGACATGGAAATTTAAGTCCTTTCTCAAAATGGGATGAGCTGCTACACGGCATAAGAAGACTTCATGCATAGCTACTGTCTTTTTGAAGATTGCCAAGTATTCTCTAAATATAAAAAGCAATATTATTTTGTAAAAGTGTTTCTGCATAAAAAACAATAGATTTCAAAACAAAATGCTGCAGTTAGTTGGATTTAATTAAAAGAATTTTTTAAAAAAATTAATCAAACTAAAGAGGAATTTCAAACAGACTAATAGAAAGACCACAAATTCTTTGTAGGGAACTAAAGGAAAGTTTTCTTCTCCTAAGCTCTCGCTATTCCCTAACAGCTGAGAGTTAAAATTCAGAATATCCAAATATCCAACTATTTTGCTGACAGAAGGTATTACTCAGAATGAGGTGATTTTTCCTCTTTCCAGGACCTCCACAACTCTCCCCTATAAGAGATACATGGTCAGATTAATGACCAAATATCACTTTCTTCCTTATTCTGATAATGGTGGAAGCTGGTTTGATATCCCCCAAATTACCTTAATAAACATAAGTACTTACTGTCATAATCATGTATTTTCAAGTATACAGAAATTAAAAACGCATATACATTTCATTTTGCCTCTTATATACAAAATAGGCACTGATCTTTTAGAAGGAATTTGCATTCTCAGTCCATTATAGGTAGTTCTTGAATTTCAATCAGTCAAACCTTCCATTATTTTAATACAAGCAAGATATTAATTCAGCAATCAAAGACAAGTATGCCAATATGCCTGACACTTCTAGAAAGACTTGGAGTTGGAAATATAAAAAAACTATACACATACGCTTCTAATTCTTGCTTCATCTTTGTAAATTCTTCCTTAGTCATGGATCCTTCTCCTTCACCAAGCTTCTGCAATTTTTCTCTTGAAGCATCAAAGTCAGGCCTCGGTGGCGCTGGTGGTATCTGTCAAATGAGTTGATCAGGTTTATTTTTAAATCTTATACAGTGAAAACTCTTTGGATAAGCATACCGTAAACTATGTAAGAACATTAACACAAACCTCTTTCTTTATACTGTCCATTGCATTAAGACAAAAATCAATCTTACTTCAACTTCATTAACAATTTATTTATGCATTCCGATTTAGCATTGTTTTAAAATATTTAAGTATTATCTTTCAATAATAGTTCAAGATAACATGTTTCCTATTCCAATTATAATGCTTATGAGGTTCATGATATTATGAAAAAGGCGTATTTTAAAATATATGCTGCATCTGTCATAAATCAGCATGGGTCATTTTAAATCAGAAATTCTTTCAAGCAGCTTAAATAATAGCATCCAAAAATTAAGTATGATTATTGGAAAGTTTAGATTCAAGTATCTTTTTAAAAAGTCACTGAGATTTAAACCATAGCCATTCAGTGGCTCACTGGCAATATATAAAACTACAAATGTAGCTAACAATTTGTAATTAATAGTACTTTTTTCTTCATAGTGATGTCACTGAAAAAGCACTATAAAATATGTAACATTATTCTTCCACTACATCTACTGTGCAGTGGTGAAAAACTGATCAAATACTACTCAGGAATATGTGTCATCTTCCTCATTTGGCTTTATTAGTTATCAGGCCTTCCTTATTGCAACAGATGTACTTTTATTCTGGGAAAATAATTTTCAAGAAGTAAAGCCTCTAATATTCCTTAAGCAAACTTTCTTAGCAATATACCCTCAGATCAATCACCCTTAACTATTTGCCTTATTGACCAGAAATTACGGCAGTGTAATTTATTCTTTAGGGAATAAATAAAGACAAAGTAAATCTGCCTACTACAGCTAAATCAACAGGAAATACTGTTAAAGGAAATATTTAGCTGCAGAAGTAAAAATAAATCGGTACAATTGAGTTTATATTCCACTTAAAGAATTTACAGATGTG